CACAGCCCGCAAAGAGAATCAAACTAGCTGTTCTGCTTTCAAAGTAAACAGTGGCTATGCAACGCGTCTGACGGCGACCATAGACTGAATAATCGAGGGAGCCAGCCGAGATCCGATGGAAGCGGACGGGGGGAACTAATCACACAAAAGACGACCATGAGGGTGGACATGGAGAAAACATATAAGTCGTGCATGAAGGGCGTAAAGAGGTCGAGGAAAAGGAGAGGAGCGAAGTGCGGTAGGGGGATTCCGACTGCGTACATGTCCTCGAGGCAATTGACGACCACCGGTTTACATGCCCGGACCACGTGGGCGAGAACTTTGGCAGGGCGAACTAAGTAAGGGATGTGGAAGAAAGCACGAGATGGAAGGGAGGGGAGAGAGAGAGAACAAAGCAGTCACAGTGTTTGGACAAATACGCTGCAACCGAGGAGCGATACGCCCCTTAAAGGTCGGAGGATGCCTAAGACCGCTTGCCCAGCTGCGGTCCTGTTTGGCCATTTCCCTCCTTAAACTGACTAAGGCGAGCCCGGGCCAGGCTTGCTATACGCCCGAAGGCAACGTTGACGTGAGACGACCGCCTTTTTCGCGGAACATCCGAACGTTTGCGAGATACATACTGAATCACGGCGGCGCAAAAATCCGGCGACGCGGATTCGAACCGCGGACCTACGGTGTTCGTCAATAGGTGCGTGATGCACCTGACGGCTGTATCAATTACAAACCGTCGCCTCTACCAACTGGGCCATCACCGGACTGCGCATGGCCGCTCTCTTTGAACGTCCATAATTTGACAAGTCAACGAGTCACGAAGCCGGCCCGAGATGTAGCACGGCGCGACCTTCGTGGAGAATAACACAGCAACAGCAGTGGGTAAACGCATGGGGAGTTAATCGACCAGCCGTTGCTCCCTGTTGAGCAATAGCGCGCATGGGTTCATGCATGGCAAACGTTGAGATGAGTTCGCAAGTGATGAGTGTCAGTTGAGGATGCGTGCGCGCTGCCTGCGGGATGTCGATCAGGGCTCAGTACCAGCGGCAAGATTGGAGTCCGCTCGCTTGCACCTTCTCTCTACCACCACAACTTGGTCATGCCCTTGCACAGACCAGTCGGGCTGCGCCTCCGCTAATACGCCGAGTTGTGCGGCCGTCCTCGGCAGCCGGTCTAGTGGCGAGCCCGCGGGTGCCGCGGAGGTGCACACTGGAAGAAAGAGCAAGCATCATCGGCAGCCAAAGGTCATCGCAACAAGATTGGGCAGTGTCTGCACAGAGCACCCACAAAGGCTTAGCGAGCTCATCACGGTGTCATCACCCTCACGACTGCTATTCAGATCTTTTGTACCGCGATCTGTTCTTTGCCAGATCACCATGAACATCTAAACAACCGGCAAGAAGGACATGAGCACAAGGGCAGAGGATGCCTCGAGCTTGACATCCCCTGGCAAGAGCTGTGCACACGGATCGAGTGCGCGTCAGGGCGCCACCGCCATCAAGATCGAACGTTCTGGGTGTTCGCTTGAGTTCCTGTCAAAGCGGGCCGCTCCATCCACGCAGCCAGACCGGAGGAGGCGGAAGCGCCGCCTAATTTGATTCGGTCAAGCCCGGCGGCGTGAGCTCACAGATTATCGGCGCATACTTGCGTCGACACCTGCTGGCTCTGTACCTGACCCCACGTTGGGTGCGTCATGCTCGCGCGAGGCGATTCTACGCATGGCATGGGCAGCGTCAACTCAGCGACCCAGCCAAGTGTCCTTGACACCGCCATTGAGTCACGAGTAGCCGAGGCGCCGATCTGTCAAGCATCAGATCGGTCGCATGGGAATGAAAACGAGTCCAGTGTCAGCATCGACGCTGGCGCGCACCTAGCAATCATATCTCGCTGCCAACTTGGGATATCCAACAGCGCTTGCCAGCATGAGAAGCTGAGATCCCTCTCTCCAGGACACGACCAACCCATTGAAGAAGTGCGCACTTCGAATGTCCCTTCGTCGCAGAATCGCGAGGCTGAGGTAGCATCGCCAAGCTCGAAGATGCGCAGCGGCTACTTTCAGATGCTCGACTTTAACATCGGATTGAGATGGAATGCTGATGGAAAAGCCGTCCCTTTCAAGACCGCGATCATTGACGACGAGCTGCACGGAGAATTCAGGATCGATGAACCCGTCTTGCTAGATCTGCTGGAGTCGAAACCTGTCTTGCGTCTCAGAGATATCCACCAGTATGGTGTCAGTGCGCTCTTCGGTCAGACTGCTCCCGTTACCCGTTTAGAGCACAGCATAGGCGCCATGTTGATCGTTCGGCGCCTCGGTGGGTCCGTAGAGGAGCAAGTTGTAGGACTACTTCACGACATCTCGCATACCGCTCTAAGCCATGTCATTGATTTCAGCCTAGGCGGCACAGGTGAAGGGGAAAGCTATCACGAAGTACACAAGGAGCACTACCTGCGCAGCACCAACATCTCGGAGCTGCTGGCGAAACACGGTCTGCAATTGGAGAAAATTGCGGAGGAGAGCAACTACGGCCTGGTGGAGAGATGCTCGCCTCGCCTATGCGCGGATCGATTGGACTATGCCCTCAGAGATACAGTCGCAAGCGGAAATTTGAAGAGGGTGACGGCGCGAAAAGTCTTGTCAAGCATCGTTGCTTGTCCCAATCCTCAACATCCGGATCGAACCATTGCGATGACGGATGTGGAAGCTGCTCTGGCATTATCCCGAGCCTATATGCGAACGGACGCTGTGATGTGGTCTGAGCCAACGCAAGCCAAGCTTTCGTCACAAGTCGCCGACTCAATCTGGCAGATGATGCAGTCAGGACATCTGGAAGAGTCTCATCTATATACACGAGCGGACAAGGAATTTTGGGCGGAGATGATGGCATGCGCGCCTGTTGCAATCCGAGACAGGCTACGCGACATTGAACAAGCTTTCTCGCAAGCAGGCGAAGAGAAGAGGCAAGAACGCGACAACGTCGAGTCAAAATCTACCACAGATGACCTGACTGCAGACGACCCGTTCCACGGCTTGCCCTCTGTGATACCGCTCCCTCCGAAGACCAAGATCCGGATCATCGATCCTGATGTGCTGCATGGACTTTCAAACGACTCGTCGCATTTTGCGGGAGAAGCAAGCCTGACTCCTCTTTCTAGCATCACACCCGCATACAAAGCAGAGATTCAAAAATATCGCGTCATGAGAGGTCAGGAGAAGAAGAGCCAGACCTTTTCGCTGGACGCTGACAGATTGGCCGACGGAGTGAACATGCTCAACCCGAGCAAAGTGACATTACAGACTTGACGCGCACGAAAAGCACGTACGATGCGATTGTCCACAAGTGCGGTACAGAACCGTCGCTTTCCACTTCAAATCGTTCAATTGAAATGTACGCACGCACCTCGCAAAGAGCCGAATGGGAACATCCTTTTAGCGACGAAATCTGGCACAACATGCAATGATGAGTCCTGGCGCGATGCGGGCACCAGTTCCGGTCCCGATCGGGCCCCATCTGTATCAAAACAGCCCTGAACAAATTTTGCGCTCACACACTCGAAGAATTCTGTCGAATGCTCGACCAGCATGCATTCGGTGCGAGATCGGCGCTGTTATAGACTCGGATTCGCCTCACGAGCCTCGCAGCAATCACGAACCGCGACACAGTGGTGAGCGCACTGGGACTGGCAGTCTCTGTCTCTAATTGTCAATCGTCGTGAATGTAGCAACCATGCGAGTCGTAATTGGAGTCGTAGCAATAGTCCGCACTGTCTGGTTGAGAGGACCCGCCATCTCCAGAAGCTGCAATGCTGTCGGAGTCGTGATCAGACTTCTGAGCAGTCATTTGTCGCTTGGCACCGGAATTGCGTTCGCCTGCCATAAGCCTCTTTCCAGATCTGATGGATGGTACGGCCAGCGTCTCCTTTGCTCCACGTAGGACGCGCGTTGACCGGCGCGGCTCTTTTACCTCACGTTTCGGCGAGGCGTCGTCAGCGATGTCGCCGTCAGAGAGCTCCGAGTCATCCTTCGTGTCCGATTCGTCATCCGCAAAGGTCAAGTCTTCGTCTTCGTCAGTCAGATCTCGGGCTTCCGGCGGTGGCCATTTAGCGCAGGCGTCGCGTCGGCTTCTGACCACTTTGCGTGGCGGCACCCATTTGCCGGCCAGACTCATTTTGATGCGCTTCTCGACTCGAAGATGCTTGCCTCGCGCGGCACGCTTGCGTATGTCTTTCAACAACCACGAAAGCTCGCCCACGATCTCTCCTTGATCATTCGTGCGGGCGGCTATGAGCGCTGCCTCAAATTCAGCGAGTCTTTGAAGGCCAGTCGTCAAAGCGATGTTCGCCGGGCTCGAAAAAGAGTTTCTGCAGCTCTCAGCGTCTTCATCTTCGTCTTCGTCGTCGTCTCCGTCCCATTCCTCATCTCCGCTTTCGTTCTCATTTTCTCTCTCGCTCTCGCCCATCTCGTCCTCTTGGTCCTTGCTGTCCTGTGATATCGAACTTCCACGGCCAGCGACTTGACAGAGATTGCGCAGAAGGTCCATACGAAGACGATCGCGGTCCTCGAGCAAGCGAAGGTGACGGATCCACGTCTGAACGCTGGCGATGCGTCGTTCAAAATCGAAATGCGGGATGACAAAGGGCTAAGACAAGCAAATCGACGTTAGCCAAATGCGGCCTGCCGGCCAAGCGAGCAGAATGCTTACCTGATTCTCAAAGATGCCTACCACCGCATCCTCACTGCTAACATCCGTCGCAGCGGGGTACTGTAGGGGTGCACTATCGGCTTGTGTCTGGGAGATCGACACGCTTGGTTGACTACTCGACCCGCCATTGCGGCTCGTATTCTTTCCCTTTGACATGGTCGTCAAACGGGTCTCTGTGCTATTTGGCTCAGGTGCTACTTCCGATCTAACGGCCTCAAGAGAGGCTGCCAACGCTCGGCCACGGAAGTCTATATCGCCACACGGAGCTTGCCCGGGGAGCACCTCCAGAGCGACGTCTGTGTAGACTCTCTTGAACTTGATAGTGCAGATGTCTTCTTCCGAAAGCAAGTAGTCCTCTATGCGAGGATTGGGCGCCTTTCTGTGTGCCGGAAGATAGGTTGAATACTGAGCAGGAGAGCTTGCACGGAAACGCAACACCGTACCTCACAGCTTCATGCCCCCCAAGCCTAGGTCCTCGTCCGAGCAGTGTTCGCTAAGAATACCATCAAGGCGAACTTTGGCGCCATCTATGATCTTGTTGAAGAACGCTTCTGGCAGACCCCAGC